AAACAATAGAATGGGAAAGTCTAGATATCTCTTGAAGAAAATTAGAGATACCAAGGGAACATTTAATGCAAATATGGGCACAATAAAGGACAGAAACTGTATGGACCTAACAGAAGCAGAAGATATTAAGAAGAGGTGGCAAGAATACACAGAAGAACGATACAAAAAAGATCTTCATGACCCAGATAATCACAAGGGTATGATCACCAGCCTAGAGCCAGACATTTTAGAATGCAAAGTCAAGTGGGCCTTAGGATGATTCAGTAGTTGCGACTCACAGACCAGAGTTCAGGCTCAATAGTTGTGAATCACAGGCTTAGCTGCTCTGCAGCATGTGAAATCTTCCCAGACCAGGGATCGAACCCATGTCCCCTGCATTGGCAGGCAGACTCTTATCCAATGCATCATCAGGGAAGTCCTTATTCTTGATTTCTAATCTCATAAAAATTGTGGTTGGAAAAAATACTTGATTTTATTTCAATTTTCTTAAGTTCACTGAGGCTCACTTCTTAGCCCAGGATATGGTCAATTCTGGAGAATGTTCCATGTGTACTTGAGAAGAATATGTATTCTGTTACTTTTGGATGGAATGCTCTATAAATATCCATTAAGTCCTCCTGATCTCATTTGTCATTTCATGCCTTTGTTTACTTATTGGTTTTATGTCTGGATGACCTGTTCATTCATGAAGTAGGGTGCTAAAGTTCTCCACTATTATAGTGTTACTGTCCATTTCTCCCTTTAAGCTCTTAGTATTTGACTTAGATACTGAGGTTCTCCTATGTTGAATACATATATATTTACAATTGTTATATATTCTTCTAGGATTGTTCCCTTGATTATTGTGTAATGTCCTTCTTTGTCTCTTGTAATAGTCTTTATTTTAAAAAGTCTATTTTGTCTTAAATGAGTACTGCTACTCTAGCTTTCTTTTGATTTCCATATGCATGGAATACTTTTTTTCCATTACCTTGCTTTCAGACTGTATGTGTCTCTAGATCTGATGTGGGTCTCTTATAGATAGCATATATATGTGTCTTGTTTTGTAACCGTTTAGCCAGTCTGCTGGGACATTCAGCCCAAGCCTCCAGGACTGCTGGTTGACCTGCACTGTGGAAAGGAAGAGAGCAAGAGCCAATGATGACCAGGCCCCTGGCCCATGCTTGTGCCAGTGATGGTGGAGGACCCAGGCATGGATTAGTATCGTGGCATGCACATACAACCACCATCTCCTGGCCCTGCATTCCCTCCCTGGGAAAGGGGTTCATTGAGTCACCCACCAATGCCGTCTGTCTCTCATCTGCATCTGCCTCTCCCCTTTCCCCAGTGTCACCAGCTTTCTTCTTTTTCTGGGTTCATCTGGCCATTCAACATCTTTTGTGATTGCATGTGAATTTTTGGCAAGCAGATTGTTATCCACTGTACCACCAGGAAACTCCTATAATTTTTATATCAAGTAGTAAAATATCTGCTTGCAATACAAGAGACCTGGGTTTGATCCTTGGGTCAGGAAGATCCCCTGGAGAAGGTAACGGCTACCTATCCTAATATTCTTACCTGGAGAATTCCATGGACAGAGGAGTCTGGTGGGATACAGTCTATGGTGTGACTGCAAAAAGTGAGATACAAATAAGCAACCAACACTTTCACTTATAATTTTTAATGTAGAGATATTTCACCTCTTTGGGTAAAATTATTCCTAAATATTTTATTACTTTTGATGCTACTGTCAATGGAGCTACTTTCTTAACTTATCTTTCCTGTAGTTCATTGTTTGTGTTTAAAAATACAACTGATTTTTAAAAATATTTATTTATTTAATTAATTTATTTGGCTATGCTGGGTCTTAGTTGTGGCATGTGGGATCTTCGATATTTGTGGTAGCATGTGGGATCTAGTTCCCACATCTGTCTAGAGATAGAACCTGGGGCCCCTGCATTGGGAGCACAGAGCCACTGGATGGCCAGGGAAGTCCCCTGCAATTGATTTTTTGCATATTGAATTTTTTTGTCCTGTAACTTTATTGAATTAATTTACTAATTCTAATGACTTTTGTTGTTGTAGTTCTAGCTATAAAAGATCGTGTCATCTGCAAACACAGACAAATTTTCTTCTTCCTTTACTATTTGCTTTTGTTGTTCAGTCACTCAGTTGTGTCCAACTCTTTGTGACCCCATGGACTACAGCATGCCAAGCTTCCCTGTCCTTCATTGTCTCCTGGAGTTTGCTCAAATGCATGTCCCTTGTGTTGGTGATGACGTCCAACCATCTTATCCTCTGTCATCCCTTTCTCCTCCTGCCTTCAATCTTTCCCAGCATCAGGGTCTTTTCCAATGAGTCAGTTCTTCACATCAGGTGGCCAAAGTATTGGAGTTTCAGCTTCAGCATCAGTCTTTCCAATGAATATTCAGGGTTGATTTCCTTTGGGATTGATTGATTTGAACTCCTTGACGTCCAAGGGACTCTCAAGAGTTTTCTCCAACACACAGTTCGAAAGCATCAATTCTTTGGTGCTCAGCCTTCTTTGTGGCCCAAATCTCACATCCTTACATGACTACTGGAAAAACTGTAGCTTTGACTATAAGGACCTTTGTTGGCAAAGTGATGCCTCTGCTTTTTAATGAGCTGCCTAGGCTTGTCAAAGTTTTTCTTTCAAGGAGCTTTCTTTTAATATCATGACTGCAGTCACCGTTTGCAGTGATTTTAGAGCCCAAGAAAATAAAGTCTGTCCCTGTCTCCATTGTTTCCCCATCTATTTGCCATGAAGTGATGGGGCCACATGCCATGATCTTCATTTTTTGAATGTTGCATTTTCAGGCAGCCTTTTCACTCTCCTCTTTCACCTTCATCAAGAGGCTGTTTAGTTCCTCTTCACTTTCTGCCATTAGGGTGGTGTCATCTGCATATTTGAGGTTGTTGACATTTCTCCTGGCATCATGATTCCAGCTTGTGCTTCATTTGGTCTGGCATTTTGCATGATGTTACATAACTTATATAAGTTTATATTATATATGTTAACTTATATAACGTTCATATAAGTTAAATAAGCAAGGTGGAAATATAGAGCCTTGATGTTTTCCTTTCCCAATTTTGAACCAGTCTCTTGTTCTGTGTCCAGTTCCAGCTGCTGTTTCTTGACCTTCATACAGGTTTCTTAGGAGGCAAGTAAGGTGGTCTGGTATTCCTATCTCTTTAAGAATTTTCCAAAAATAATTTCCACTTACGTAGTCTATATATCTTTTTCTCATTTAATTGCTCTGGATAGGACTTCCAGTACCGTGTTGAATAGAAGTGGTGAGAGTGGGCACCCTTGTCTTGACCTGATCTTTCCTCTAAGATCAGGTCAAGACAAGGGAACCCACCAAAAAAGATACCCCATGTCTAAGGACAGAGGAGAAGCCACAACAAGATGGTAGGAGGGCTGCAATCACATCAAAATCAAACCTCATACTTGCCAGAGACTCTTGGAGGGGACAGATAAAAACTTGTGCACACCAGTACCCAGGGAAAGGGACTAGTGACCCCCACAAGAGACTGAACCAGTCCTGCCTGTGAGTGTTTGAGGGTTTCCCGCAGAGGCATGGGTCAGCAGTGGCCTGCCACAGGGATGGGGCACTGGTAGCAGTAGTCTTGGGATGCGTGGAGTGGTGGCATAAGTCCTCTTGGAAGAGGTCACCATTAGTCCTACCATAGAGCCACTGGGTGGGTGACCCACAGACTGGAGAACAATTATACCAAAGAAGATCTCACATGGTTGTGAAGGTTCTAGGCCCCACATTAGACTTCCCAAACTAAGGCAAAAGACTGGGAATTCCCAGTTTTTAAGGTCAATGGGATTTGGTTACATAACTTCCACAGGATTGGTGAAAACAGAGACTTTTGGAGGACACAAACAAAACCTTGTGGGCACCAGGACCCAGGGGAAAGAGGAATGACAAAAATCCATATAGTCAAGCTGTAGTTTTTCCAGTATTCATGTACGAATGTGAGAGTTGGACCACAAAGAAGGCTGAGCACAGAAATATAGATGCTTTAAACTGTGGTGCTAGAGAAGACTCTTGAGAGTCCCTTGGACAACAAGGATATCAAACCAGTCAATCCTTAAAGGAAATCAACCCTGAATTCTCATTGGAAAGACTGATGCTGTAGCTGAAGCTCCAACACTTTGGCCACTTCATGCAAAGAGCTGACTCATTGGAAAAGACCCTGATGCTGGGAAAGATTGAAGGCAGGAGGAGAAGGGAACGACAGAGGATTAGATGGTTGCACGGCATCACTGACTCAATGGACATGAGCTTGAGTAAACTCCAGGAGCTAGTGAAGGACAGGGAAGCCTGGTGTGCTGCAGTCCACGGGGTCACAAAGAGTCAGACACAGCTGAGCAGTTCAACAATGACGGCAACAAAGTTATTAGCTATGGGTTTATCATATGTGGCCTTTATTATTATTATACCTAATTTGTTGAGAGTTTATCATGAAAGAATGATAAATTTTGGCAAATGCCTTTTCTTCATCTGAGATGATCATATGATTTTCATCCTTGAATCTGTTAAAGTGGTGTATTAGCATTATTGATTTGTATATGTTGAATCTCAGGGTTAAATTCCACTTGATCATCACCATATAATCTTTTTACTCTGCTGTTGAATTCATATTTCTCATATTTTGCTGAGGATTTTTACATCTATGTTTTTCAGGGATATTGTACTGTTATTTTCTAGTTTTCCTTTCATGTTTTGATGTCAGGGTAATTGACCTTCTAAAATAAGTTTAGAAGTATTCCTTTGCCTTCAGTTTTTTGCAAGAATTTGAGAATGACTGGAATTAATTCTTTAAATGGTAGAATTCACTAATGAAACAATCTTGTCCTAAGCTTTTCTGTTTGGGAAGATTTTAAAATTACTAATTCAATCTTCGTGCTTGTTACTGGTTTGTTCAGATTTTTAATTTCTTCATGATCCAGTCTAGACCTTGTACTGACAAAATCAATTTTACTTTTCCTAAGAAAGTGGAAATAGCTCAGTCACTCGTGACTCTTTGTGACCTGTATAGTCCATGGAATTCTCTAGGCCAGAATACTGGAGTGGGCAGCCTTTCTCTTCTCCAGGGGATCTTCCTGACCCAGGAATCGAACTGGGGTCTCCTGCATGGCAGGTGGATTCTTTACTAACTGAGCTATCAGGGAATGTTGAAGTTTGCTTTCTCACAGTTTTGCAGAGTTGGGCCAGCTTTCTGCATGTGCTCACAAGCTTTCTGCCAATGCTTATACTTGCCACCTCAAGGGCACAGGATGCTGGCTGCAAGGCAGAAGACTGTGTGGGTGAGGTGTGAAGAGTGTTGGGAATGCCTTTGGGCCAGTTGGGGGAACCTGCTGATAAGGTCTGTGGGTGATCCTCTAATGGAGTCTGCAAAACAGAAGAATTCACATCTCTCTGACGCATTCCAAGCACTGCCTGCTGTGTTCCCAGCCTCTCCTCACTCTTAGCTGTGTAACTTACCTCGTATTCTGGATAGGGTAAGGAAGAAGTGGGCCTCTTTGGGAGTGTCCTGCACAGCTGGGGGAAAAACTGGGCACTCACTCACATGCTCTCACTTGCTGCTGTGAAAGAAATTCCAGTCCTAGGAGGTCTCTTTTTCCTCTGAGATGTGCTACACCAAGGGAGGAATGACAAATCATGTAAAACTGCTTTTTTGGTCCTCTTTAATGTGTCCAGTCTTGGATTTGCTTTTTGCTCCAAGGAAGTGCTAGAACTTCTTCACTGGACTCCTGGATTTCCACAAAGATACCTTCACTTGTGCGTGTTGTCAAAACTAGGGTTCTTTGAAGGGAGGATGGTAGAAAACTCCTATTCCACCATTTTGTTGCTGATACCCCTGTGGTTTATTCCATTGAATGGTTTTTGTATGTTGAACATCCCTGAATTCTGAGAATAAATCTCATTTGGGTCATGACATATAAACCTTTCATATGTTGCTAAATTTGGTTTGTTAGTATTTTGTGAAGGATGAAAGTAGTGAAGTGCAAGTAGTAGTAGCTTAGTTGTGTCCAACTCTTTGTGACCCCATGGACTGTAGCCCATCAGGCTCCTTTGTCCATGGAATTCTCCAGGCAACAGTACTGGAGTGGGTAGTCCTTCCTTTCTCCAGGGGGTCTACCTGACCCAGGGATCAAACCCAGGTCTCAGATTCTTTACTATCTGAGCCACCAGGGAAGCTTTTTGGATTTTAATGTATCAGTGGAAGGAAGGAATGCAAGTACAGCAGTTAAGACTGAAGAACAAAAATTTAAGTTAGAAAGCTGGAAGAACAGTTTCATGTATTGTTATTTCATATTCTAACAAAAATTATCAGTGAAAGAGACCATGAACTTGACATTGCACATATGTGAAAAATTATAATTAAATTATTATACAAATGTTATAGAACCGTTTGAATTGCACTTACCCTCAAAAGAAGATCCCCATACAGGAAAATCATGGATCTGTAATCAGTTTATTTCATTGAAAGACATTTTAAATTCTAACCATTACTCTTGGATAAATTGTTAGCTCTAGCTACTCATTAAGACTGAATATGAATTTCTTTTCTTGTTCCTTGGCATTTTTTTTTTTCAAAATTGCAGCTAAAGGAAAAAAAAAAATCAATGGCAGCCCTGGGGAGATCCAGCCTGAAAACAGAGATGCAGATTTGGGGTCAAAGTGTTTCCTAAACATCTTGACCCCTCAGTCCTTGACCACACAATACAGAGCAGAGGGCAGTACAGATCCCCAAGGCCTGAGTGGCAGGGCTAGAGGCCAAGATGCCTGGGTCAGGCCCTTATGACTTTGGGAGTGTACTGTGGGCACACCAGAGACCCAGTTTACTCCATCTTTTATTTCATATCACTTCAAGTGAGTCATTGGTATGGAGGTGAAGGTCCAACCGGGGTGGATGCTACAGGTGGGTGGTCCCTGGGCAGCATTGCACCCAAAGCATCCTTTTGTGGGCTTTTGATCCGTACTGGATCGCCTTCAGCTCCTTGTGGAAGTGAAGGATAAGCTCAGCCCCATTTTCCTTAGTGGGAATGTGGAAATGCTTGCCTTGGTACAGGATTTGATGCTCATGGCAGACCTGACAAGCAGTTCCTGAAGCATAGGCTCCTCCAGCGCCCGCAGGAACACGTTCATGGTGATCTTACACTCCACCATCCGGAACTCACCCCAGGTCCGAGCCAGGTCCAGCAGACTCTGTCGGACTAGTCAAAGCAGGATGACACGGTCCAGTGTCGGAGTCACCAGTTCCAGCGCCCCATCGTCGTGGGTCCAGAAGACGAAGATGTTCATGGTGCCCACCTTGGTGAATTGGAGGTCAGGCCCGTATAGCCAGAGGACCTGTTCGCAGCCCTTCTTTTGTGCCTCCTGCTGCACGAACGCGGTGGGCGCTTAATTTTCCCTCAGCTTGCAGTCGCCGACCCCACCTACTCAGGCTCAGATGAAGGATGGATCCGCCAGGAGGGAGACAGGGCTCAAGGCCTATCCAGGGAAGATTGCAGACACCTAGCGAGGGTTCCTTCCGGATTACCACCGGCCTCACAGAGAGGCTGGAGCCCACGTCCTCAGGACCCAGTCCTTGTCTTCTTCCACCAGCCGGCAGATGCACTCCAACAACTCAGCTTTGTCCAAACTGCAGGCAGAGGCGCAGGGCTGAACACAGCCTGAGTTCCATGTTGAGCCAAAGTCAGAAGAGGCGCATGCGCTGGTTCCCCGCGTTTGAACGCCTTCAGGTCTTCGAAGAGCTGCAGGGAGTAGTGGAGAGCAGAGTGAGGTTTTGGAAGGGCTGGATCTGGCGCTGACCCCAGCCCTTCTCCCTGTTGGGTCCCACCATCAGCATGTGATCGGTGAACGCCTTCCTGAACAGCAGGGGTCAGGCTTCTTTTGCGGCTCCTGTGTCATTTCCAGCTGCCCGTCAGCAGCTTTGAGGCTGGATGAGGCGTATCGTCTGGGACCACACAGAAGCCAAAGAACAGGGAGAAAATTTGGGGTCCAAATCTCTCTCCCTTCATCCCCTCTAAAGCCTCGTGCTCCTTTCTGAGGGGGCCCCTCCTCCTCCGAATATGAATTATGAAACTACATCATCAGTTCATGTTGGTTAAGGGTAAGAATGAATCATGAATTTACTAAAATTGCTTTAAAATCTCTTCTTCCATCACCATTAACATAGTTTAATGGTTTAAGATAGTTTTCCTGCCACGAGAACCCACAGACGGTTTCCACGTAAATTTTTGTCTACAAGTGGTGCTTTTATCAATCCAAACTCATTTAGGTAAATGACTAAACAAGAAACAACCTTATTTGTCACATTGAAAGCTTTAAATATTTATATACTTTGTCTTCATTCAAAGTGTGCTTACAGGCATTAACATGTAGAATAGAAATTTCACTAATGTCTTTGCTTTCCTTAAAATTGTAGAACAGATATCAGTGCAATAGCCACTGTAATAAACGCTCATTGGCAAATTTTGTCAGAATGAAGTTTACTTTCTTAAATTATTTTCTTTGTTATGTTTGCTCCGATTGTTGAAGTGTAATTTTTTTAAGTGTAATTTTATGGCTGTCGAATTCCACATTTATAAATAAACTTGTATTTTGTATATATATTTTTCACTTCATTTTACGAGTAATTTTCTTTTCTTAAAAATACATGATGAATTTAAAACAAACTGGTCTTTCATTGTGGACTCTTAAGTAGTAACATATCTAAACAGCTAGACGGTTTTGGAGGGCAGACAAACTGCATATTATTCAAATTTGCCCGACAGGGCGATTATTCGTTAAACGAATGAATTTTTACTCACCAACGCTGGGTCCAGGGCGTTAATGACATCTCTACTCCAATTCCTCAATGATTAGACTTGCGAAACTGAAGTTTATCAAACATGAGGATCTGTGCCAAGCAACTCACTCTCCACCTGCTTTTCACTCTCTCTTCTTCCTCTCAGAGAGCGGGCATGCTCAGCACCATGATCCTATCTGTGCTCAATACCACGACCCATTCATTGGTCGAACCCGACGTCCTTCACAGTGGAGTCGCGGCAAGCCACGCCCCCATGCCGGCCTAGAGGGGGCGTACCCATTGTTGCGCCAGAAGATCCAGGCCAAGCAGTCTTGTGAGAAGCTGATCGGTGTGAATGGGGGCTGTTCCGCAGACCCTCAGAGCCGGCGCACGTCGCGCCTCGCCCCCTCGGCCCGCGGGCCCGTCAGAGCCTGGGTCTGGCTAGCCTGGGCCTGGTGGGCTGAGGCTGGGCGGCTGAGGTACGAGGGGCGGAGCCTGAGCCGCGGCAGCCGCTGCCGCCGCCGCTGCCTTCGGAAAAAAGCTTGTCTGCAATTTGAGCCAAGAAAGTGAAAATGGCCACCAAATCGTGCCCCGAGTGTGACTAACAGGTGGGCGCCGGGAGCCGGGCACCGAACACGCGGGCCAGCGGAGCGGGTGCGCGCGGGCAGGCGGTCGTTGCCCGTGGCCGTTGGCTGTGGAGAGGCCGCCTCGCCGGGGTCCCGGCGGCCGAGCGAGTGGGCCAGCCCTCGGGCTCTGTGGCCACCGCGGGAGCCCCGAACCGGCCCGGCCGAGCCGAGGGGTTGCCGGGAAAGCGCCCGGAGCCGCAGCCCGGCCGGTGTCCACCTGGCGGAGGTCAGACGGGCGAATGTCTTGCCCTGTGGCTGGGCTGCGTGAGAGGGGGCGTGGGTTTATCCTGAGCCAACGGAGCGACCTGTCCGGAGCCTCCTCGAGGAGCTGGCCGGCTCCGGTGACAGCGGCAGGAGTGTGGGGCAGCGGCCCAAGTGGACGAGAACGGACCCCCAGCCCCCTGCTGCACCGGCGAGAGTGCCTGATGTGCAAACTCCCAAGTCAGGGCTCCTGGCTCCCAAATCCCCCTCCTGCCAGTCAGGGTTGCTTTGTTTCCATTTCAGATGTGTACGGTGGACCCCCAAACTGTACCCCCCGCCACCTGGGCGGATGCTTAAATGTGATAATAAATAAGGCCTGCAGTGTAATGATGCTTTCCTTTTGGACTTAAGTAATTAGTGATCTATATGCTTTTAAATAATTTGCATAGTATCAATAGTCATTAATTTGGTCTAGTTTTTAGTAGAACACTTTAAAATACTAAGAACCCATTAAAGTCCTATTTTTCTGAGTTCTCTCTTCTATAATGTTGCATATTCTTCTAACTTTTTAAGAGGTGAGTTTGCCTTATGTGGTTTCTTGAACTTTCAATATCTGCTTTCTAAACTAAATTCATTAGGTCATGAAGTGGCTTTATGACTGCTGTTGATCTGGGGATCAGATTGACATTTAAACTTAAAAGCTCTCAGCTATGACAATAAACACTGCATGTGATGAGAACAGCATCAGAATTGTGGTCAGTAAGGATCCTCACAGCATTCCTGAGGCTTTCTCTGCTTCCTTA